TCCAGTCCCTAAGATCTCCAAGTATTTTATTTTGTCACGAGACAAGGCTTCAAGCAAACATCTTGAAGGTCTCCACCCAATGATGAGTGTTACCCAATGATATAGCATGTGGAGACCTGTATTTCACATGGTTCTTACAGATAATTTACAACAGCCTTATAAACTGATGTCGCCTGAGTTTAAAGTATGCACATCAGTATCATTCACTTTAAAAAAAAAATCTTAAAACATCTTAATCCATCCAAGGCTCAGTGGATGAACATAAATCCAAGGAAATAATTCTGAGTTCAGTCATCAGAGCAGCTTCTGTTGATAGCCATGGGGAATCTGGCTAACATTTATATCCCTAGGTTCTTTATAACAGCCCCAAAATATATTCCTAATTTTACAGGGCCTAAAGGGTACATATTTGACTACAACTTGAGTGTATCCAATCAACGGTATGAAAACTCGGGAATGGAAAAGTCTTGTCTGTTTCACTTGCTGCCATAACAACCGTAACATTCAGCCTACCCGTGGAGTGAGACACAGATCTATATAGCATGAACCATTACTACCTCAAAATATCACAATACATCCAACTGATGATACGCTGAGGTAAGGTTGTATATATGTATCTTTTCTCTCTCACAGGTGAGGGTGAAAATGCATTTGAGGTTGTTNATGAGGTGGATGAAACTGGAGCCCATTATACAGAGTGAAGCAAGCCAGAAAGAAAAACACCAATACAGTATACTAATGCATATATATATATATGGAATTTAGAAAGATGGTAACGATAACCCTATATGCAAGACAGAAAAAGAGGCACAGATGTACAGAACAGACTTTTGGACTCTATAGGAGAAGGCGAGGGTGGGATGGTCTGAGAGAACAGCATCGAAACATGTATATTATCAAGTGTGAAACAGATTGACATTCCAGGTTGGATGCATGAGACAAGTGCTTGGGGCTGGTGCACTGGGGTGACCCAGGGGGACGGGATGGGGAGGGAGGTGGGAGGGGGGTTCAGGATGAGGAACATACGTAAATCCATGGCTGATTCATGTCAATGTATGGCAAAAACCACTGCAAAATTGTAAAGTAATTAGCCTCCAACTAATAAAAATAATTGGGAAAAATAAAAATATTAAAAATAATAAAACACACAAATATGCATACTAAATTTATCCATCCAGAAACATATTCCTTTTAAGGGATAGGTGTTCCATCAGAGACAATTCTGAGGATGGGTAAATAGAGATGTCCTAGAGGCATTGAGGAGAGAAGGAAAAAAAAAAAGACTAAGCCATCATGGGGTGGGGGACAGAGGTATGGATCCTCTTACTGCAGTGGGAGGAGGCAATATGTTCCAAAAAGATGTCCCTAGAAAGCGTTGTATTCATCACAGGGAAAGGAACTTGTGTTCCACTCTCTCAGGTTCATACAGAGAAAGTGGAAGATGCCATGAGCCACAGCCGAGGAAACATGCATATTCTGACCACACCAGCACTTCTGCGACTGAGCTGAAGGACTGACACTTGGTAGCATTCCCTCACTAGGACAGGCTAACCACTCCACTACTCCAGTGTTCTGGCCTGGAGAATTCCATGGACTATATGGTCTATGGGGTCACAAAGAGTCGGATACAGATGAGCGAATTACACTCATTTACATACTTACACACATATGTGTTTGTATGTCTTTTCATAACTATATGTATTAAAAATGGGTTATCACCACAAATTACACAAATAAAGAAAATGAAAAAAACTATAAACAGATTTATGTTATTGCAATTAACATTCCATTGAAATGGACACATTACTTGAAAGATGTGTCATGACAATTAATGCATGATAAAGCAGGAAAATTGTACTGTCCTTTCTCTATCAAGGGCATTGAGGAGAATGCTCCATAAATTTGCAGGTCAAGAATGTTTTATTCAAACCCAAGAAGTAAACAAGAAATATCACTAAACTTGGAGAAAGTCATTCATTGATATATGATCCTATGAATCATATTAAACTATTTTCCTTTCCTGAAAATTCTATGAAAGTGAACGTCGCTCAGTCGTGTCTGACTATGTGTGACTCCATGACTATAGAGTCCATGGAATTCTTCAGGTGAGAATTCAGGAGTGGGTAGCCTTTCCCTTTGTCATGGGATTTTTCCAACCCAGGTATCAAACTCATGTCTCCCGCATTGCAAGTGGATTCTTTACCAACTGAGCCACTATGGAAGCCCAACAATATTGGAGTGGGTAGCCGATCCCTACTCCAGCGTATCTTCCCAACTCAGGAATCAAACTGGGGTCTCCGGCAATGCAGGCTGATTCTTTACCAACTGAGTTCTCATAGAAGCCCTATATGATCATAGGGGATTTGATCTGGGTCATACCTGAATGGTCTAGTGGTTTTCTTTACTTTCATCAATTTAAGTCTGAATTTTGCAATAAGGAGCTGATGATCTAAGCCACAGTCAGCACCAGGTCTTAGGTTTGCTGACTGTATATTCCTTCTCCTTCATCAACTGCAAAGAATATAAACAATTTGACTTTGGTACTGACCATCTGGTGACATCCATGTGTAGAGTCACCTCTTGTGCTGTTAAAAGAGGCTGTTAGCTGTGCATTCTCTTGCCAAAACTCTGTTAACCTTTGCCCTGCTTCAATTTGTTGTCCAAGGCCAAACTTGTCTGCTACTCCAGGTAAATCTTGACATCCTACATTTGCATTCTAGTTCTCTATGACAAAAGGGACATTTTTTATGGTATTAGTTCTAAAACTTAGATCTACAAGATCTAAAAAGTCTTAGATCTAACAGAATCNTGGATATGAGAGTTGGACTATAAAGAAAGCTGAGCACAGAAGAATTGATGCTTTTGAACTGTGGTGTTGCAGAAGACTTTTGAGAGTCCCTTGTATTGCAAGGAGATCCAACCAGTTCATCCTAAAGGAGATCAGTCCTGAGTGTTCATTGTAAGGACTGATGTTGAAGCTGAAGCTCCAATATTTGGCCACCTGATGTGAAGAGCTGACTCATTTGAAAAGACCCTGATGTTGGGAAAGATTGAGGGCAGGAGATGGAGGGGACAACAAAGCATGAGATGATTGGATGGCATCCCTGACACAATGGGCATGAGTTTGGGTGGGCTCCAGGAGTTGGTGATGGACAGGGAGGCCTGGCGTGCTGCGGTTCATGGGGTCACAAAGAGTCAGACACAACTGAGCGACTGAATGAACTGAACTTGATTCCTTATGGAGCTGTTTCTCCACTCTTCCCTTGTAGTGTATTGCACACCTATTAACCTGGCAGGCTCATTTTCCAGTGCCATATCTTTTTGCCTTTAAATACTGTTCATGGTGTTCTCAAGGCCTGAATACTGAAGAAGTTTGGCATTCCCTCCTCCAGTGGACCACATTTTGTCAGGTGCTTACTCTCAGGGACATGCCCTTCAGCCACTCTACATAGCCAGCCGACATGCCTGGTACTTTGGATGTTCCACTGCAGGTCTTCGTTAAGCTTGGAAAGCTTCACAGGGCACTGAGTGTTGATGAAAGTCCTGCCTGGAGGCTGGGGCAAAGACCCTGCTGGTGTCACCAGGAAGGGGGTGTGAGGAAGGCTGGAACCACGGTTGTAGGACGCCCTGGAGTGGAGAGCTCCCTGGTCTCAGTGCCGCTGCTGCCGACGCTGACCCAGATCTGTTATCCAGGAGTGGAGGGCTCCCCTCCTCATTTGTTTTGGTAGGGCAAAGTTTTTTACCCGAGAACTGGTTCAACTGGAACTGGTTCATTAGGAAACTAGTGCCAGTGGAGGTGGGTAGCCTGGTTGGAGTTAGTTCATATTTTATAGGGTAAATTTATTTACATAATTTGTGAGGTGGTTTGGCAAGCCACACCAGGATTCTTGGCGGGAGGATCTCAGGGACAGGTGGGATGGGTGGACTACAGACCATGGGGTTGCAGAGAGTGGGATGTGGCTGAGTAACTAACACTTCGCTTTATTAGAAGGGCCTCCTTGGTGGCTTAGACAGTGAAGAATCTGCCTGCAAAGTAGAAGACCCAGGTTCAATCACTAGTTTGGGAAGATCTCCTGCAGAAGGGAATAGCAAGCCACTCCAGTGTTCTTGCCTGGAGTATCCCACGGACAGGGGAGCCTGGTGGGCTGCAGTCCACAGGGTCACAAAGAGTCAGACTCAACTGACTGACTGACACAACACATGCTCCTCTGTGCATTGATGTTGGAGTTTGCTTGTGCTTTTGTTGTTGGAGTTAGCTTACATTCCTTTGTGTCTTGGTGTTTTCAAACTTATAAAAATGGGAGACATAAAATTTATCCCAAAGGAACGTTCTTTGGCATGTACATAACACAGGTTAAGATCAAAAGAGCAATGACCCTTGAATGACTCCCGTTTTGAGAATCTGGCAGTTTGAAGCACTTTACGAAGGGGAGTAACACACTGGTCATAAATGAAGAGGGCCAGAGCCTCCCACATACTCCCGCAGAATCGAGTGGTCTGATTCTAATTCCCCTGGAGGAGCCGTGACAGTGGGGAGCTTCAGCTCCAGTTTGGGGAGCACCTCCTGCGAAGGAAAACTCCAACCTTATGGACAAAGTTCCAAGGTCTTTAAGGGGCTGGGAAATCATGTTACTGCTACTTTCCAGCTGCCTAGGTTTGGGTTTATTCTGGCCACTTTGGTAACATGCAGGCATCTGGTACTAACTGCTGGAGCTGAAATGAGAAGTGTTTCTTCTATCATCCCCCCCACCCACACTTTTGCATTTCTCTCTGCTTGAATCCTCTGTGAACACACTATTGACTGTGGAAGCAATTGAGGAAATCTGGCTACGGTTACTCTCTCATGTGTTCTGAGCCACAGAGCGCACCGTGCCCCATAAGAGCTGCCAACCAACAACTTAAGGCTCTCATTTCCTCTTCCTCCCTTGAGCCAAGAATCAGGTCAGCTAGTATCTTGTGGGCATGAGTCAGGCACTTAAAAGCCCTTAGGCCATCTGCCAGTTGAGGGTTCCTGTGGCCTCATAAGGAGTAAGGGAACAGGCCAGACTATCAGTGTCTGCCCCCAGCAAGACAACCTCTAGGCAGATTAGGTAAATGTTGGTTCAGGAAAACGCTGAGCCCACTTCCCCCCCGCTGCTCCCCTCAGGTCAGAAAGAGGCTGATTCCTCCGTCTCTTTCCTATCACCTTCACCTCTTTCCCTGTCGTTTCAGGCTGACGCACAGGAGCCAAGGTGTCACCTCTGAGCCTTCCCAAGAGTTCTTCTCTCCTAAGCTAGATGAGGAGAAGTAAAGCTTTCCAACACAGATAAACGGGTATGTCAAGTCCTACAGTTTCACTGAGGTGGCCACCAAATTCTTTCCAAAAGAAAAACAAGCCTATCCTGTTTCACAACCATAGTCTTTATAGCACCACAAGAGGGGCTCCAAAAATCCTTTACCACTCCAAAAACCTTCCCCGTTTATCTTGAGATGCTTGTGAACATTAAACAAAGGTGTGTGTGTGTGTGTGGGTGGGGTCATTCTAGGCAGAACACACTTATATTTTTGAGACGAAAATGTCCAATTGGTCTTCTCAGCAACACTCATCTGTGATGCCTTTTTATGTGAATTTTAGAGAGTGTAACGTAATTTAGAAGTTGGCTTGTTCAAGGTAATTAGAAACTATTTTCTGCAAATAGCCGGTGATTTGGTCAAGAGAGCTTGACTTGTTCCACCTGTCAGAAACCCAACTTTAATCCAACCTCTTTGAGAACTTATGGGTTTCACAGTGCCTTACCTGGCTTAGTACTGAAATCTTGAAATGAGAATTCAGATCTCTCTTTGTATGCATCTTTGTCTTTGGATTACAATGCCGCATTTGGTTTGTAAAAGAATTCTATCTAATTGGCTTAAAAAGAATAAGTGCTTATAAACGTATAAACTCAACAATTCTAAATGTAAGAGAAATTAAGCTAAATGAATTTCAGGTTCCTGTGAACTGGGAAATAGCATTAAACTAGTATCTGGTATTAATGTTTAAATATGCTGATCTGTGTAATATACACGCCTTAGGTCACAACATAAAACATAATATTAGGCAGAATATTTTCATTGTGCCTATGCAGTGATTGCAGCCATGAAATTAAAAGATGCTTACTCTTTGTAAGGAAAATGATGACCTTCCTAGACGGCATATTGAAAAGCTGAGACATTACGTTGTCAACAAGTGTCTGTCTTGTCAAGGCTATGGTTTTTCCAGTGGTCATGAATGGATGTGAGAGTTGGACTATAAAGAAAGCTGAGCACCGAAGAATTGATGCTTTTGAACAATGGTATTGGAGAAGAATGTTGATGGTCCATTGGAATGCAAGGAGATCCAACCAGTCCATCCTAAAGGAAATCAGTCCTGAGTGTTCATTGGAAGGACTGATGCTGAAGATGATGCTCCAGTATTTGGCCACCTGATGTGAAGAGCTGACTCATTTGAAAAGACCTTAATGTTGGGAAAGATTGAGGGCAGGAGGAGAAGGGGACAACAGAGGATGAGATGGTTGGATTGCATCACTGACTCAATGGACATGGGTTTGGGTGAACTCTGGGAGTTGGTGATGGATAGGGCGGCCTGGTGTGCTGGGGTTCATCGGGTCTCAAAGAATCGGACACGACTGAGAGACTGAACTGAACTGAATTGAGGTTTAATATAAGGTAAATAAGATCTTATTACATCTGTTACAAGGAAAGTAACTCAGTGTGAAAAAACCTGTGAGGAAAGGGTGCAAATGGGATGCGAGTTTTCAGTGAACTTTTGGAAATAATTAAGTGTTTAAGGGTCTCTGTAAATATTCAGCAACTTGAAAGTTAAAACTGTGATAAAATACATTGTGATGAAATGTTTGTAGAAAATGATCCCCAAAAGTGTTTTGTACATAATCAGTCAGTACTGACTGAGTCTAAAACAACTTTAACTGAGTAAATGAACCTTTAAACTAAGCAGAGTCAAAATGTAAATTTAACTTTTCTCGCTTCTAAAAAAAACTCAAGCTTTCAAAAAATTTATTTTTCCTTTGATAAGGTTTTTTAACTTGTTTTCCCTTTTAGCTGATCTGTTTTAGCCTTTGAAATTTTGTATTGCCATTTTGGCTAAGTAAATAACTATTTTTCACAGTGACCTAGGAATCTCCTGTTTTAAAACACATCATTTTTTTCTGAATGCACTTTTAACAAAACTTATAAAATCAAATTACCTCTAGCTGACTTTGGGATGCATGGAAGTGTCCTTAAATGAACTGAATGAAAGACATTAAGCTAATTAGTTTCATGTGGTGTGATAAATTAGGTGGGAGGACTTTTCAGATGAGAAATAGATCTTAAGTTATATTCTAAATGTTTCAGATATTCCAGAGATTATATGGGGTTCCTAAAAACATGATATGTCCTGGTAGAATATTAGTCATATTTCTAGTTATTATCTGAAAGTGTTGCATGTCACTGCACTAACCAGGTTCTTTATAAATTGCATTGTAGTAGGACTTGAACTTGCCTTTTTGAGACTTTTGTCATTAAGGTTAGGTTCAGTTCCACTCTGATACCTTTGTAAAAATGCCTCCTCTTCAAGAAGATTGATTTAAAAAAAAAAAAGCCTTTGGATAAATGCAAGTTGCTGACGTTCAGACCAAAATGCTGAACTCAGTAAAAATAAATAAAATAATTAATTATAATGGGAAACCGGATGGCTTCATAAAGCTGCTAATGTAAAGAATTAGTTACATATGACTGGATAATGAGCAAATATGGTTATAATTTTCATGGTTTCTATCCAAAAAAATTACTGGTTTAAACCTATGTTTTCCAGGTATAAGAAAAACTGCATCAAACTAAAGATGACAGTTAGTACCTTGGTAAGTTATGCCTTCTGTGAGTAAAATGGAAACATTTACCTTTTTCTCTCTACATACCTGATCCTACCAGTAATATATACTTGTCTCAATGATTAAGCCATACATAATTGTGCATAGCCAGTACAATGAAACTGCAGATAGCTCATTAAATCGGTTATTCCCCTGCCAGGGTCACTTGATAACTGCAACTCGATACAGGTCAGTTCAGTCTATCTGTTGTGTCCGACTCTTGGTGACCCCATGGGCCACAGCACGCCAGGCTTCCCTGTCCATCACCAACTCTTGGAATTTACCCAAACTCATGTCCATTGAGTCAGCGATGTCATCCAACCATCTCATCCACTGTCAGCCCCTTCTCCTGACTTCAGTCTTTCCTAGCATCAGGGTATTTTCAAATGAATTAGCTCTTTGCATCAGGTGGCCAAAGTATTGGACTTTCAGCTTCAACATCAGTCCTTCCAATGAATACTCAGGATTGATCTCCTTTAGGATGGACTGGTTGAATCTCTTGCATTCCAAGGGACTCTCAAGAGTCTCCTCCAATGCCGCAGTTCCAAAACATCAATTCTTCAGTGCTCAACTTTCTTTATAGTTCAACTCTCATATCCCTACATGACTGCTGAGGAAACCATAGCTTTGACTAGATGGACCTTTGTTGGCAAAGTTATGTGTCTGCTTTTTCATATGCTGTCTAGGTTGGTCATAACTTTCCTTCCCAGGAGTAAGCATCTTTTAATTTCATGGCTGCAGTCACCATCTGCAGTGATTTTGGATCACCCAAACATAAAGTCAGCCACAGTTTCCCAATTTATTTGCCATGAAGTGATGGGACCAGATGCCATGAGCTTAGTTTTCTGAATGTTGATTTTAAGCCAATTTTTTCACTCTCCTTTTTCACTTTCATCAAGAGGCTCTATAGGTCTTCTTCACTTTCCTCAAGAGGCTCTTTAGTTTTTTGCTTTCTGCCATAAAGGAGGTGTCATCTGCATAGCTGAGGTTATTGATATTTCTCCTGGCAATCTTGATTCCAGCTTGTGCTTCATCCAGCCCAGCGTTTCTTAAGATGTACTCTGCATATAAGTTAAATAAGCAGGGTGACAGTATACAGCCTTGACATACTTCTTATCCTATTTTGAACCAGTCTGTTTTTCCATGTCCAGTGCTAACTGTTGCTTCCTGCCATGCATGCACATTTCTCAAGAAGCAGGTCAGGTGGTCTGGTATTCGCATCTTATTCAGGCACCGCCCACTGCTCCAGTAACACAACACCTGGATTACAAGCAGTTGTAGTAGTCATTGTTTACATTTGTTCTTTGTTTTCAAATTGAGCTTTGTGTCTCTGTGCTGAACTACGTCATTGTCAATGTCACTAGCTTCATTTCTTAAATACAGTCTCATTTTAAGGACTGTTGCCTCTCGCAGTATCCAAAGGGTAATCAGGCCTCCAACAATACTTCCATGGCTAAACATTGAGAAAAATCACATGTATAACATTAAATACTTGCAACACTGAGCTTCTAAGTATGGGAGGAAGCAACAAGGGAAAATGTCTCCTGGACTGCAGTTAGCCAGAATCCACAGAGAATTTTTAATTACTGATGGGGCCTGGTCCAAAACTTAACACCTGGAGTGGCACATCAAAAATTTTTGCCTAAACTGGATGGAGCCTCCCAGTGCCGTGCGACAAGTGTTGATAATGAAATGTCTCCCAAATATTGGTCACATTCATGACCAAGAGGGGGAAGACTGAAAATTGGAACCAACAATTGCAGCCCTCCAACATGAGCTGGTCAGACGAGAAGAAGGAGAATATCTGCTATCTAGGAT